CCAACCCAACAATTATTATACATCATTTTAAAGAGAAAGCTTTGAGCTTTAATTTAAAATAAGTCTCATTCCTTAATTTTAATAAATACGACTTCCAGGAATTTTTAAATTAGCATCTTTTTTGACACTTTTAGGTTATACGAAAATGTAAGTTTTATTTCAACATTTTTTTTCTTTATATTTTTCCAATCCAACCCATCAATTATTATACATCATTTTAAAAAGACAGCTTTGAACTTTAATTTAAAATAAGTTTCATTCTTTAATTTCAATAAATACGACTTCCAGGAATTTTTAAATTAGCATCTTTTTTGACACTTTTAGGTTATACGAAAATGTAAGTTTTGTTTCAACCTAATTTTTGTTTTCATTGATTCATTTATTTGTTCTTCTATTTGTTATTTTTGGTAAATAAATGATAGTGAACTAAAAGATTATCAAAGTTAATTGTAAAAATAAATTAAACGAAAAACTGTTAAAATATCATGTCCTAATAAAAATATAACCGATTTCCGGCATTTCCCTTTCTGGTGGGTTAATAAAACATGGGGAAATCATGAATGCGGAAAAAAGGTAATTCACTTTTTGACCAGTCTGTACAAGATACTATGATACAGCAAATGACGATCTATTTGACAGCATTTGAAGAGTAATCGTGCCAATTTGGAGCTTTTTTGAATAAACGTTTTTCGTTGGTTATATTGGCGTATAATATTCTTGTATATTTGTGTCTATTCTTCTTCTATTCTGATTCTGTGTTCAAATTGTATAATATTCCAGTTGTGACCCGATATATACAGTGTCCCGAAACTCAACGACAAGCGGGTACCGCACGAAAGCCAACCCATACCTGTTTTGGTGGAAATAAGAAAATAAAACCCATGTCTCTTAGTTAAGTGATAATAGACATATTTTTGAAAATGTTAAAAATTGTTCCTGTAGATCATATCTTTAAGTAGGTACCTACTACGGCCAGAAATGTTTGCGATTTAATAATGATTTTTTTAATAATGATAAAACAACAAAACTTGGTAGTTTTGCGGAAAAAATGTTAGCTTGATTGAGTTAAGATTGAAAAAACTTATCTCTATTAAGTTTGACACACCATTTCTAAAAAAGCAGTACTGAAGCACCCATGGTAAGTAATTTTAAAAGATGAGATTACAAAATTTGCCGTTTTTCTTCTCATAAAAAATATTATTGCCTGTTTTCTTTTTGTAAAATAGCACGTTGTTTAAAAAAATCATACTTTCGTATGCTATTTGTATTTCCTACACAAATCCTTAATATCTACAAAGAAATGTGGTTTCAACAAGTTGGTAAAAAAAATAGACAACAATTTAACGCTTAGTAACAATTAAAACTAGAACTAACGCGCGTCTGAAGACGCACTGCTAAACCCAAAGCTTTCTAGTTCTAGGTCTAGTGTTAGTTCTAGTTTTAGTGCAATAAAAGTATACAACATAGTGATATCTAGCAACATCATGTTTGGATTCATGTTAATGGTTTTTTTTTAATAAAGAATACATCATAAAAGAACACCATGAAGTTGTCCATTTGTCTATTATATGATAACTAACTTCAGATTTAAAATATCAACCTCAATTTTGACATATTTGTAATCTTCATTAAATATCCTTTAAAATGAGTACAAACACGACATATTTATCTTCAATATTAACGAAGTTATGGTCAACTTCCGATTAGAAATGTCAACGTCAATTTTGACATATTTGTAATTGTCGTGAAAAATCCTTTGAAATGCGTCTTCAGACTTTTCTAAGTTCTTGTTTCAGCCGCCCGGCTAAACCTAAAACTTTCTAGTTCTAGCTCTATTGTTAGTTCTAGTTTTAATTGTTATTTAGCCCTCAATTTTTGTACATTTTAATTGATCTAAAAATTTTTTTTTTTGATTTAATCTGCTTACCTTGCTTATAATTTCATCTATTTACCCATTTTGAATTAAATACAACCTTTAAATCCAATTAATTATGTGTTTTTCATTAAAAAATCTTAAATTCGACGTCAATTTTGACAAGCAACTGTAATATTTGGATCTTAATCACCATGGTAACCGAGTCAAGTTGGATAACCTTAAAATAATAAAATTTTATTCCGATTTTTTTATCAATAATTCTAACTTAATTTTTATTAATTTTAAAACAATTCGATTTCTTTACGATTATCTCGCATTCATAAGAAATTCGTTACTTTTAATTAATTTAAATCGATTCTAATTAAGAGAAATAAATTAAAAGTATCTTTCTTTGATTTAATCCACTTACCTTGTTTATAATTCCCTAGATAAACCAATTTTGAGTTAAATACAGCCTTTTAAACTAGTTAAATAAGACTTTTTCCTTAAAAAACAAATTCAATTTCAATTTTGACAAGCACCTGCAATATTTGGATCTTAATCACCATGGTAACCGAGTACCGAGTCAAGTTGGATAACCTAAAAATAATAAAATTTTAACCCTTAATATTTCGCTTTATATTTTAACATTTTTTTTATTTTATTTTTTTGTGTATTCCTTCTTAAGTAAAATAGACTGTATAAATAAAAACATAGAAATGTCAATTCTTCCAATGACGTCACAGCAAGGCTTTTGTGGGGGGTACGTTCATGAGTTGGATAACCTTATACAGTGTTTACTCAACGGACCTTGGATGCAATCGAACAGAAATAAAACGGGTGTTGCATAAATTAAACAAATACTTTTCAAAGGATTGTTTATTTTAATATTTAATTTTTTTACAAACTAATTCACACATCAAAAATGAAAAAAGAAACTATTCTTATATCCGGACTTATACAAAAATATCGCGTTTATGAACTATGCCATTATTAATTTTATACTTTATTATTACAATTAGGAAAAAAGAAACTTATAAAATAACTTTTCATAATTTTACTTCGGCATAAAAAAAAAATTCATTGAACCTAAACTTAAACAGACGGTTCTCAACTTTATCTTTGTAAACATCAATGGTAACGATCTCTCCTATGTTTGTACTCTTTATCCCGACTATTATGTCTATGAGATCTTTCACGGTTACGCTCATCATTGCTATTTCTTTCTCTTCTAGGTGACCTATCCCGGTAATCTCTATGTTTGTGATCATGTTCTCTACCAGTCCTCCGATCATCACGATTTCTTTCTCGATTCCTTTCCCTATCATCCCTATAACCTCTATCTTTATCCCTTTCTTCTCTTTTTTCTTCTTTCCAATCACGATCTGATCTTTGCCAATCACTTCTTTGTTCTCGCTCTCTCATTGGCATAGCTTGTGGTGGTTGTTGTTGTTGTTGTTGTTGAACGGGATATTTGTCCTATTACAAAATAAAAATTAGTTCAAAAAAATTTAAAAAAAAACATTTTTTATATTACTTTCAAAAATTTTTGTATTTTTTGTTCTATTGGTACTGGAATTCTCGGAAACAACGACCCGTACCAATTCAATTCAACCAAAAATTGTCTCAACATCGTCCCAATTCTCATATTTTGACCTCCACCGGCTTTTACATCCAGCTCCTAAAACGCTCAAATACACAATTTAAAACTCTTTTTAAAAAGATCTAAATAACAATGGGGGCCGAAAAAAACCTATTTAAATGAATTAATCAGTCTTCACTCTACCTGATCACGGTACGCACCTCTTCATCTTCGAGGTACGGTCCGTACCAATCGAGTAGGTGCGCCGGGGGCAACACATGCCTCACATACATGAACCCCAAAGCCCTTATGTATGGCGAATCACAATGCGTTATCAATCCATTTAATTGTTTTCGAGTTAATTTTAAGGTGAATAATTTGTAAAGTAAGCAGTAAGCTGTGGAAACAATTCCTCCGGCTCCAACGCCTCGGACACCTCCGCACATCCCAGTTTGACCTGATGTACGCCGCGATCCTTTTTCCCATGGTTCTAAGTGGGTTACTTTATAATATATTTCATCGACGACTTCATGGTAAGTTTTTAATTCGTATAAATTTACTAGAAATAGAAAAAAAATAGATTTAGGTTATGTTTCAAAAAGGGCGTCTCTTTATAGCGCCATCTATATTTTTCGAATGACACTATATACTTACAAAAGCATTAAAAAAATACTATGCAATTTATTTATTATCAATTTAAGCAATAATTAAGCATTATATAAAATAAAGTTCTGAAGAAAACGTATTCAAACTCACCTTTGAAATAATGACTGCTTTGTATGTTAGTGAGAATTAAGGGGTTTAAATTCATAGTCCGTTCGTTGCCCCACAATTGTAATACATTGCTCTGTTTAGAACTTGGTTTAGAAACGTATTCTAAAACGAAAAGATAGGATTAAAATGGGTTATAAAATGTTGCGTGAATTGAACATTGTTTTGACATGAACAGACACGAATTTGGTGGTATTTACGCAACAGTTCGATCGATTACCTTCATCATTTTCGTAAGATTGGGAATCCATGATGTTTTGTCTTCAGAAAACGTGGTTTTAGTGTTATTTTTGAAGAAAAAAATGACAGTTTTTAATGAGCAAAAACCTGAACAATCAGCCATTAAAAGCAACAACTTGAAGTTAGTCGCAATAATTTTTTTTTTATTGAAATTATGAAAAATAGAATTTTTTAATTAACATTTTTCTAAAATTAGATTTATTCCTTAAAAAAGTTATTGAATATATTGATATAATTAATAAACCAAGTTGAATAAAATTTTTTTGTTCTATAATAAAGCTGACTAGTTGTGCCATCTATAATTGCATTATTCAAACTTTTTTGTTACAGTTAAATTAAAAATTATTTAATTGACAAATTTTATGAAATTAATGTTGTTATTTAAAAGGTTATTTAATCGCATTAAAATTTATTAAAATATTTTTTTTAATTTGTACTTCAAATTGCGCCATCTATCATAAAGTGTCAAAATCATGTGAATAAACAACCTAACCTTCAAATCTTTAATTACTTAATTTTAGCTTGATATTTATTTATTAATTATTTAATTCAGTTTTTTATTATTACTTCCTTGCTACGAGAAATCTTAAATTATCGAAAAAGTAAGTTTTATCTTATTTTAGTTTAAATAAGATAATATCGTTTCGCTTTGAAAATCATAACCTTACTTTTTATTTTACATAAAGATGAGTACACCAACGGAAGAATTGAACCCGGAAGAAAAACCAGTCTTTAAATTAACATCCTTTCAAATGTCCGCAAAAGTGGGCAACAAGAAAAGAATGTGGAAATCCTTAAAACAAGTTATTTCATCGGAAAGGAGTTTGCCTTGGCCGGAAGATTACGTCCATTACAGTTCTATAAACGCACCACCTTCATTTACTCCCGCAGAGAAATTTTCGGACCTCTCTGGACTACCTGCACCTTATACAGACCCTCAAACTAGATTAAGATTTGCTAACAAAGAAGAATATGCTACTATTGTTTGTTTGCCCATGGATATAACAGCTGGATATTTATCTTTAAGAGGAGCTAGTAGTATTGTAGGATAAAAATATTTTTTTTAACAATATAATTAATTTTTATTAATGATAAAAATAGCTAATAAATAATGAAACCTTTTGAAATTCACATCCTTCACTTAAATTAAATAAACAAATCTTCAAGCCCCATCTCTTAAAAAGACAGCCGTATGTGTGTTATTATTTGTTTAAGAGGCGGCGTGTTAAAAACAGGATGTAGTAAGTGTCCAAAATTCGTGATCTCGCATGAATGCCTCGAGTTAGCATTTATACGTCTCGGTTTCTTTGTCTTTTGATTGGCGTTGTACACCGGGGACCCAGTTGACACCTGGACCTTATGGATGTAAATGTATTCTTTTGACCACGTCCCGTCGGAAGCGAAAAAAGTTTTAAATAAAATTAATTGAAACCGTGCTTGAAATCGGTCATTTAAAAGCTTCATATAAATCACTTTACGAGAATGAGAACGATTTAAAAATTTTAATTTATGTTTTATGGGGGGTTTAGTTGAGTTTTACGGCTGTAAAATTGATTGATATGGGTTATTAGTTAAAGTTACGAGTTTCGAAAGCTTTTTTATTTTTTTCTTAGAAATATGAGTTAAAAGTGGTGTTCTTTCTAACAATTTTAAGGTGGACAATATCATTTAGAGATTAACCAAACTGAGTTAAAAAGAATTTTAGTCCATATAAACCAAGTCTGATCACCACAGCACTCAATTTTATTTAAAATTAATTGTTTCCGTAAATTTGTATTTAGTACAAGAAATCCATCTTGAGCTGCATCTCGTCGAACGCTGGGAAAGGTCCAATCACTAGCTATAAAGTAAAGAGCACTGCCTGGAGAGTCTTCGTTCAGCAATGTTGATAAATATTAATGATATTAATTTTCATGGCCATAGATGAGCTAAACTAGTGGACGCTGTTAATATCGATGATATATGCTCTCAATTGAGTATAGACAAAGGATAAGATGTTTTTTTGTCCAGACAAGCTATATGTCTCTGACACCACTAATAAGAACATAAACTAAGGCAGACAAAAGGCAAAGACTGATCATAACGTTAAGCATCAATGAGGCAAGCGGAAGAATTACAACTTGGAAAGCAGCAATATTAAATTTTAATAATTGTTATAGTTTGGGTGCAAGAGTAATTTCTTATATAACGTTAAGCATCAATGAGGCAGGTGAAACAGTTAAACCTTGGAAAGTTCTTTTTTTCCACGCAAGGAACAACAGGTTGGATGTTACCAATGATTAAAATAAGCCCAACATGGTAAGCAGCAATATTAAATTTTAATAATTGTTATAATATCAATTATTTATTTGATTATTGCAGTACGATTTCATTAATGAAGAGTTCCAGGTTCTGTTTAGCAGATGAAATGTTTTAGACAATTTTTTAAGGTAAGCTTTAAATATTTGATGATACAAATGTCAATTTTAAATCTGCAATGAGGTTTTAACATTTAATCCTGCCTTTGAAAATCGGTTAAATAGGCGGATTTGTCCAATTAATACACAAAGTTTTCAACATTGATTGATTTCAATTATAATCAAAAAAAGTAATATTTTTTTTCAACGATACCAAAGAATTTGAAAAAGATTTATGATATAAAATATCAGATAAAGTAACCTAACGTATAATAATAATAGTAGCATTGCAGTGGTAATATATTATTAATGTAATTTATTGTGTGACAACTAAAGAAAACTTGTTTGGGTGTTTTCGTTATTATTCTATGATAGCACGCAGCCGTAGACAACTTGGCTCTGGAGGCAGAGCAGTACAGAGAGTAGTTTTGCCCCACCAATATCACAAGACGTGTGCGCCTTCCCGAAAAACCAGTTCTTTGCGAACGCGTCCCTCCGCAGAGAGAGCTTTAGTCGAGCTTTGGAGCTTGTACGGGTCGGTTTGCGTGCGCCCCTTAGCTTTTTTTCGGCGGAAAACATCGCGTTTGTACCGCGGCGCCGTTTTCTGTACGTTTCGCTATTTTCGGACAAATTCTATTCTTATTAATAGTGCGCCAATTTTGAACTCAAAATACAAAAAAAAAATTCGTTTAAATATTTCCGGGAAAACTACAAGTTTTTTTTTTAAATCCTCCAAATTTATTTCTCGACTAAAATTATTTTAAATATTAAAAATGTTTAACTTTATCACGTGATTAAAAATTGTTTTCTTTTTTTGTGTGGATATTTGGAAAAGTTTTGGCAAAAGTTTGTTATTTTGATAATAAAACTTGGTGAAGGATGTTTGTTGTCAAGAATCTTAAATAAAGGTAAATCCGATAATTATCATAAATTTCATGCGTCGTTTTTTGTATGTTATCTGAAAAAGCTTCGAAAATCCGTTCGCCTAAGCTTCGTTTTTTCAATCGATTTTGTGCGCCCGCATCAAAATATTAATTTCACCTCTGCAACGTTCACGAAACTCGTAAACAAACGTACGTGCAAAATTCGTTGTGTAAATAAACGTATGGGGTAACGAGTTTTTGTCGAAATATGAACTTTCAACATTATAATGGACAGATTTTTATTTACTTTTATTATTTTTTATTACTAAGCACTTTATTGTTTAAAAATTATACTCCGCATTGTTGTAAATTAACCACTTTATTTATTATTTTATTTTCAGTAAAAGCCTCTATGTTTTTTATTTAAAACATTTCATCAATTTTCCAAATTTAAAACCTTTTTCGAAACAATTCCTAAACTTGACGTACAATATCAAATGATATTTACCCAATTTAATTTGTAGAAATTAAGGTTGACTTAAACGTAACTTAATTAAGGTTGGATTTGATATGATCTTGCCTTTGATGGTCATATTTTCCTGTTACTCGGGATATCCATTGCAAAATAAGGTAACCAATAACTAGGAAGAAAGATCTAGATGCGTTAAGCAATACGAAATAGTTTTATTCGAACCACATTTTCAGATGACCAATACAGCTTGTCACATTAAAACCAAGCTTGGTTTCGCTCTTTAAAGAGAAAACCAATTATTTTTGTCCATCAAAGGTTAATTTTCTTACATTTTTATCTTATTTTGTTTTCTAATCTTGAAGAATCATGAAAGACTTTGGCATCATCATCAGCAATAAGATATTTACATTTTAAGTTGTTAATCTGTGTTTGAACTAGATAGCCATAACAAACCTCAAAGTTACTATTTTCCAAAATCTTCAAAAACTGCTTTGAATCATATTTACATGTGATCTGCAAATTTAATTACCATTAATTTTAGTGATATGTTTCTGTAATGACGTAAACAGCTTTAATAATAATGAAATCATCATGGTTAGGGTGACATGGAGTTCTTCATAGATTCCAAAATTGTGCCATTTCAGATTCCACATGCACCAGAGATCCAAATCAGCTGCTCAGAAATTGCGATAGTTTTAAATGACGTCCAATAATGAACGATCTATCTCTTTTTATAGTAAATGCAATCGCGTACTTTGCTCAGTGTATCATATGTATGCATTTTAGAGTATTTTAAGAATGATATTTGATAGATTTTGGTGATGACTCTTTTCAAAGTAGTTGAAAACTTGTGGATCGTCACTTACAAACAATACCTTAATAGCAATTTCTGCCTGATTCGCAATCTAATTCTTTTTATTTAGTTGTCAAAAATTTCCAGAAAAATATAATTGATTTGCCAAATTTTTATTTATTTAGGATATCACAAATTAAATTTTGTTGCATTTTCAAAATTAATAACTTATTAGTAACACTTTATCTGTTCGGTTATTATTTGAAGAGTTTCTTAATATAAACCCCGTTTATTCCTTATTCCTTATATTGTTCATCTTCCAATATCTAGTCCCCCCACATCTAAGAATACCCTTAGGCGCTCCCTTATCCATGCATCGAGTCCATAATGCACCCTAAACCTTCAAGAAAGTACCAGAGTTATTTGCTTGGGCCAAAGACCCATCAACGGAGCCAGATTTCCATTCGGCCCTTTGTTGTTTCCTGCCCTCCGGGTGTGTACTTTCACTGTGTGGAAGTCGCCCCACTTGCTCTTCTGCGACGAGGACCCTTTTCCTTCAGACATCCTTCGGTAGTTTTATCTTATTTGGACAGGAAAGTCTTTTTTTATAAAGAGAAAATCGCAAAACGATCTTTCTCTTTTCATACTTTTTCATTTCTTTATTTAGTTTTTATTTATTTTAGTGTATATATGTTGCATTTAAGAATTTTTGTTATTAAGAGAAAAAGATTTCGTTTCGATTAGTTGAAACAGAGAGCGAGAAAATGGTTAACGTTTCTAAGAACGTTTCGTATGCAAATGCTCCCGGAGTTCTTCGTACTCTTCGTACTATATGTAACGGGGCCTCACTCGAACGCGAAACTATCGCACTCTGATGACAGAATCTCTCTCTCTCTATGCCACTGTGAAATGAACCAGCGATAAAGCAGTTTTGCCTCGTTAGTAGAGATAACGCGGCGTCACAATCGCTGGATCGAGTGTTGAGCCCCCCTTAAGGCCGCCACGGTTGTTAATTAATTGATTGATTGATTGATTAGCAAGCCGAGTGTATGTGGTCGTTTTTGGGAGGGCTATAATCTCCTAAACCATAAACTCCAACCTATAACAGCGAATCTACGTCAAGTGGCACAAGAAAATCTTTAAAAAAAAATCGCAATTTTTTCAAAGAATTACCCCTGAAATGGTGGTTATTTCTTTGTATTTTACCTCGACTTGATTAATGGTATTGTTGGGTTAATTTGGAAAGGATTGTTTTGGGAACTGCTGGAAATGATTGGTTCGCTCAATTTGAAACAAAGATTAATTAACGATTGTGATGTTATTAAGACGGGATCGTGTCTTGAAATCAAATTAAGGCCATATTATTTTTAGTTTTCGTTAAAAATATCAGTTTTTTGATCCTTAATTATTCCTTAATCTATATTAAATTAGTTTTCAAATAAGTTGAATATATTGGTTTACAAATATATATTTTTGATAACCAGTAATCATTTTGATTATTTGGTTCAATATTTGTACGTATAATGCATTTTTTGTGTGCCAGGAAAAATTTCTACAAATTTATTTCTCTGCAGGAAATGTCAGGCAATGATGGATCAATGGATCTTGAGAGTAACCTAGAAAAGCTTATTCTTTGTCGTTTGGTGATGAGTCAGATTTAAGGGATATAGGTGAAGATATACTAAATATTGATATTTATTCCAGTGAAAGTGATTCAGATGACAACAAACCTTTATCTGTACTTCAAGCAAAAATTAAAAAAAAATTAACTACAATTAGCTAGCCACTGATGTGGGGTAAAACGGAAAGATTTTATTAACCTCATCCTTTTGGCGAAATCAGCGGCGTTCGTGACGAAATAGATCATAGAGTTTTTCAAACAAACTTATATGCCGAGCAAGAACAAATGCGTACTGGAAAACATTATAGTGGTGCGAAGTGCGAAGAAATAAATACATGTTTAGGAATAAATTTAGTTATGGGGATCAAGCATTTACCAAGTTACAAAGATTCTTATGGTGCAAAAAAGATTTGGTTGGCTTTTAGGACACATGCATATCAATGATAACTCTGATAGTGATTCAGAATATTTTGATCGTCTTTATAAACTTCGGCCGTTGTTAGATCACTTAGAAAAAGCTTTTAAGTATTGTCTTTTAACAAGTGAAGTATTAGCCTTGGACGAGTCGATGATCACATTTAAAGGTAGAAGTGTGCTAAAACAGTATATTCCAGGTGATCCATGTTGCAAGTATAGAATAATTTTAAACAGAAAAATTTTACTTCAAAACTTGCTTTTATTAAATATGCTCAGTACATGTTTGGATAGAAATCTCTCATCTTCAGCTGAATCTAATATAAAGATTGGATACAATATTAATATACATTACTAAACAATTTTAAAAAATAAAAAAACTTACGTCATAATTAACTATATAAAACCTATGTAGAAAGTGAAAAAATTCATAATACTAATCGATTAACTACAAAAAACGAATTAAAATCGATTACGAATAAAAAACTTACTAAAATATTAAAAACTTACTAAAAATAGAAGAAAAACGAAAAATAATTTG